GTTGAAGTTTTTGTTTTAGTTTGTTTCAGGTTATGTGATAAATGTTCTACTGTTTCAGTGAGTTGAAGTTTTTGTTTTAGTTTGTTTCAGGTTATGTGATAAATGTTCTACTGTTTCAGTGAGTTGAAGTTTTTGTTTTAGTTAGGTTATGTGATAAATGTTCTACTGTTTCAGTGAGTTGAAGTTTTCGTTTTAGTTTGTTTCAGGTTTTATGATAAATGTTCTACTGTTTCAGTGAGTTGAAGTTTTTGTTTTAGTTTGTTTCAGGTTATATGATAAATGTTCTACTGTTTCAGTGAGTTAAAGTTTTTGTTACTGTCAGGTTATATGATAAATGTTCTACTGTTTCAGTGAGTTGAAGTTTTAGTTACTGTCAGGTTACATGGTAGGTAAAAGGTTTTGTTTTTGTTGATGTCAGATTATGTGATAGATAAATGTTTTACTGTTTCAGTGAGTTGAAGTTTTTGTTTTAGTTTGTTTCAGGTTATGTGATAAATGTTCTACTGTCTCAGTGAGTTAAAGTTTTAGTTTCTGTCAGGTTACATGGTAGGTAAAAGGTTTTATTTTAATTGATGTCAGATTATGTGATAGATAAATGTTCTACTGTTTCAGTGAGCTGCTGTTCGTAGATTCGGGTGCTGAATCAGCAGTATCCTTTGGACCCGACTGGTGAGTTGTATGCTGTCTTTAGTAACATCTTAAAAATCTATAAATGTTGTTTTAAATGACAAAAAATGGATATAAAAAATGTTGTTAATGTATTGAAACTCAGTTTTTAACTGAAAATTAATTCCCCAAATCATAAAATAACTTGTATGTTTTACCATCCATTACTGTATAGTTTCATATCATCGTAGGTTTAAGTTTTCACTTTGAAAGAAGGGATATTCTTCATTTGGGTTATTAAACTCTTCAAATCAAATATTAGACAAGTAAGTAACAAAAGTCGTGTATAAAGACAATTATTTTATGACTGTAATTAAATTGTCATTTATATCATTCTTCATAATTATTTATTATTCTATATTGATCAATGTCTGTCTGTCTGAGTAGCAGGAAAATGTAAAGTAATCTTGTCATGGCATTGCATCATTATTAAGATTGATCTTTTGAACTTTGGTCAAACTTACAGAATGAGGTTACTCGAAAAAGAGAGTAAACGTGACTTGAATTAATATAAAGTTACTTAACAAGTCTCTCTGCCCCTTATATTTTTTTCAGTATAGGTTGATGTTTATTTCTAACTTAACTGTTTCTGATTTTGAGAACCAAGAACATCCACCAGACACATTATCATTAAAATAGTTTTTTTTATTGTAGTTGTAGCAGTATCAAAAGTAGTTGTTTTTTGTGTATGGTTTTTATAATAGCTGTTTTGATTAGTCTGCCAACAGAACTATGGATAATTCTTTTGCTTCTGTTGTTGAGATTTTCAAAAGCTGCAAATCTTGTTTGAAAACTGGTTTGTCTACTTACTGTGAATATAATAATATAGTTATAAACATCACTTACAGATTGTAATTTTTTAATCATTGTCATAACAAACTTATGAAATATAAGTTCATAAATGGTGTGTCCATCACGTTGCCCTAACATTAGAATAAAGTACGACAACATAATCAGATTTGTTTTTATAATTTCTCCGTTCATAAGAATTTGATCACTTCATCAGTTAACTTATGAAATATAAGTTCATAAATAGCGTGTCCATCACGTTGCCCTAACATTAGAATAAAGTACGACAACATAATCAGATTTGTTTTTATAATTTCTCCGTTCATAAGAATTTGATCACTTCATCAGTTCGTAGTTTAAGATTTTGTATCAGACATTTTTATAGCAAATCCTAAGGTTTACTGTACAGTTCATTGATGCATGTTCAAATTATTTCTAAGAAGAAGTGATCAGTAGTTAATATTACTGCTGATAACTTGAGAATTGTTTTTATTTTACTCATGTTAATGAACGTACCTGCTAATGCTGCTTTTATTTGCACATTTTTGACATTCTGTGTTTTCGTAGACAGAAGGTGTAAATGATTCTGTTGCCATAGTAATGGCGATATCAACTTAATTCCATTGATGAACGTTTTTATTTTAGGCATCTCTGCAGTGACACAAGCATCAGCTCTACCATTTGCACATTTTTGGCATTCTGTGTTTTCCGTAGATAGGTTATATTCATACCTGTCCGTAGAACATGCAAATTATTCTGTTGCCATAGTAATGGCGATATCAACTTACTACCATTGATGAACGTTTTTATTTTAGGCATCTCTGCAGTGACACAAGCATCAGCTCTACCATTTGCACATTTTTGGCATTCTGTGTTTTCCGTAGATAGGTTATATTCATACCTGTCCATAGAACGTGTAAATTATTCTGTTGTCATAGTAATGGCAATATCAACTTATTACCATTGATGAACATTTTTATTTTAGGCTTAGAAATCTCTGCAGTGACACAAGCATCGGCTCTACCACTAATCCAGACTTCGAAGGCCATGAGAAGTCGGGGATAAAAAGTGTCTTTCAATTTAAAGAAGAGTCTTGGGCAAATGTAAAACAGGTAAGACCATTAGATTTCTCTTTAAAAAAATACCAGTGTAATTTCAGTATCCAATGAATTTTTATGTATGAGCTACCAGATTGCGTGATGCTCACAAGACAAAATTTCATGATAAAGATAAACCTCTAGGCACTCGAACATCAACCCTCCATCACGATGAAAAAAAACCTGTTACCTCATCTACCAATGTTTCCTTCAGAACTTGTTTCTCCTAAAGAGTCTCGTATGAATTATTACCAAAATTTTATTCTTTATATTTAAAGCATCCTTCTTGAGGTTTGACATTCGGGTAATTGTGACAAATGTTGGTTTTATCAGTGCTTTTAAAAATTTATATTAATTGTCTGGAGAAATAATGCATGCCACGAGAATGTGGAAGTATTGTGTTACAGATAGCATCCTGTTCTGTCAGTTGTGTTTTTAAAGAAATGTTCCAAGGTTTTACATTGTTTATAATATCTAGCTTTTGAAAAGTACTGTTTTGTACTTGATTATGTGATATGTTGTAAATAAAGTACTTTTATCTCATTTGTTTAATGGCATTCAATTTGTAATCATTTGAAACTGAGTAAAATCTTAGTTTAATACTATGTGAATTTGGTTCTTACAGTATATATTCTACATAATAATTTACATGTTTAAGTTGAGTCAACTGTCAGTTGATTATGTGATAAATCGACTTCTTGAAGTTAACTGTCAGTTGATTATGTGATAAACCGACTTCTTGAAGTCAACTGTCAGTTGATCATATGATAAATGCACTTCTTGAAGTCAACTGTCAGTTGATCATATGATAAATACACTTCTTGAAGTTAACTGTCAGTTGATCATATGATAAATGCACTTCTTGAAGTTAACTGTCAGTTGATCATATGATAAATGCACTTCTTGAAGTTAACTGTCAGTTGATCATATGATAAATAACACTTCTTGAAGTTAACTGTCAGTTGATCATATGATAAATACACTTCTTGAAGTCAACTGTCAGTTGATCATATGATAAATACACTTCTTGAAGTTAACTGTCAGTTGATCATATGATAAACACACTTTTTGAGTCAACTGTCAGTTGATCATATGATAAATACACTTCTTGAAGTTAACTGTCAGTTGATCATAGGATAAATCAACTTCAGTAGATTTATATGGTCCAAAAAATCTGTGAGATCTGTGTTAGGAACTGAAACTTTATATCTGCATGTTACATTATTGTTAAGCCTAACATTTTTGTTCTTTCAAAGTCACAGATCCCAAACTTACTGACTTTTCCAGGAACTGCCAACAGAAACTTTCAGTAGTGCTCTACAACACAAAAACTCGGCAGCTTTACAACAGAACCCTGTCGTTCCTAAAATATGGAAAAAAGATAATCTGAATGAGGATTCTTCAGAAGATGGTAATTTTTATTTTAAAAAAATGGAAAAACCATTAATGAACTCCATAAAACCCTGTACTAACCCTGAAGAAGCCACAAAGGCGAAACATCGGTTAAAATAAAAATTCTATTATTATTATCTGGAGTATGAAGGTTCTTTTTTTTTTCTGACTTTTTTTTATCAAAATATGTAAAACCATCTAGTATGAACTACAAATTTTAAAAGACAACAAAAAGTTTTAGTTAATGATTTTAGCAGAAAAGGTATGTTAGA